ATCAATGTGCTGATACGACTGCATGTTATTTCAAATTCTTTATGTTAACTTCGCTTTCGCTCGTGTGTTTCCTCCCGGTTGAGTGTGTGGCAAAATCTTCGGACGGCTAATTGACCCACTTTCCGTCCACCTTTCGAGCTGAAACCTGGCATATAGACTAAGTCGCCGATGAAAACACATTCTTTCAAATTTTCATCCCTTAACCACAATCCCCAAAAATCAGTTTTTCCCGGTTTTTCAAAGGAAAGATGAAGGAAATATGATGTCAATTTTTTCCACGAAATAGAATTCCCCATAACTGGGCTCAGAGAGATTCTTGGAAATAAATTACACAAGTTTGTTTTTTTTCTGAAAGAATTAGTGAAATAAATTACACAAGTTTGTTTTTTTTCTGAAAGAATTAGTGAAATAAATTACACAAGTTTGTTTTTTTTTCCTGAAAGAATTAGTGAAATAAATTACACAAGTTTGTTTTTTTCTGAAAGAATTAGTGAAATAAATTACACAAGTTTGTTTTTTTTCTGAAAGAATTAGTGAAATAAATTACACAAGTTTGTTTTTTTTCTGAAAGAATTAGTGAAATAAATTACACAAGTTTGTTTTTTTCTGAAAGAATTAGTGAAATAAATTACACAAGTTTGTTTTTTTCTGAAAGAATTAGTGAAATAAATTACACAAGTTTGTTTTTTTCTGAAAGAATTAGTGAAATAAATTACACAAGTTTGTTTTTTTCTGAAAGAATTAGTGAAATAAATTACACAAGTTTGTTTTTTTCTGAAAGAATTAGTGAAATAAATTACACAAGTTTGTTTTTTTCTGAAAGAATTAGTGAAATAAATTACACAAGTTTGTTTTTTTCTGAAAGAATTAGTGAAATAAATTACACAAGTTTGTTTTTTTCTGAAAGAATTAGTGAAATAAATTACACAAGTTTGTTTTTTTCTGAAAGAATTAGTGAAATAAATTACACAAGTTTGTTTTTTTCTGAAAGAATTAGTGAAATAAATTACACAAGTTTGTTTTTTTCTGAAAGAATTAGTGAAATAAATTACACAAGTTTGTTTTTTTCTGAAAGAATTAGTGAAATAAATTACACAAGTTTGTTTTTTTCTGAAAGAATTAGTGAAATAAATTACACAAGTTTGTTTTTTTCTGAAAGAATTAGTGAAATAAATTACACAAGTTTGTTTTTTTCTGAAAGAATTAGTGAAATAAATTACACAAGTTTGTTTTTTTCTGAAAGAATTAGTGAAATAAATTACACAAGTTTGTTTTTTTCTGAAAGAATTAGTGAAATAAATTACACAAGTTTGTTTTTTTCTGAAAGAATTAATGAAATAAATTACACAAGTTTGTTTTTTTCTGAAAGAATTAGTGAAATAAATTACACAAGTTTGTTTTTTTCTGAAAGAATTAGTGAAATAAATTACACAAGTTTGTTTTTTTCTGAAAGAATTAGTGAAATAAATTACACAAGTTTGTTTTTTTCTGAAAGAATTAGTGAAATAAATTACACAAGTTTGTTTTTTTCTGAAAGAATTAGTGAAATAAATTACACAAGTTGTTTTTTTCTGAAATAATTAGTGAAATAAATTACACAAGTTTGTTTTTTTCTGAAAGAATTAGTGAAATAAATTACACAAGTTTATTTTTTTCTGAAAGAATTAGTGAAATAAATTACACAAGTTTGTTTTTTTCTGAAAGAATTAGTGAAATAAATTACACAAGTTTGTTTTTTTCTGAAAGAATTAGTGAAATAAATTACACAAGTTTGTTTTTTTCTGAAAGAATTA